ATCCTAGCGGGACGCTCCCAAATGTGCAGAAACTGGACGCGATGGGATGCAAAACCCTTATCTGCCCGCGAGCTCCTGACGGACCACGAAAAGCCCTCCCCTATGTGGCCAAAATGTCTGCCAGGTGCCTGGACTAGGGTCCACAGGTTTACATCCCCTGGGAACCCCCATCTCCTTTAAAATAATGCTGTCTTGGGTCTCCTCCTGTGGATTTAATCCCAAGGGGGAGCAGCATCGAGCGAGTCCCATGTGGTCTGGTTCTCACCTGCAGTCCAAAAGCAGAATAATTAACAAGGGCGAGAGTTACCACGAGCTCTAAATCCCAGGTCACAAACATTGGTGAGGGCTCACCTAGCACTCGCTTGGGCCAAAAGGGGTACGTAAAACTATACCAGGAATGAAACCCCCGCATCTACAACTGCTTGATGGCAGTAGCTTTCCATAGTTTTCATCTCATGGGGAACTAACCCCCTGTGCCCTATTTCAACTTCTTTATTCTCCACAACGTTAGCTGTTTCTTTAAACATCGATGTAAACGAGGTGTTTTTTTAATGCCATGAGCGTGCAAATTACTTCATCATAAACGCGTACCTGACCTCACTTTGTAAACTGGAGTCTTTTGGAGCTACAGACACTAGAAAACCACCCGTATGATGTGGCAGATGTGTTCAACTTCAGCTCAAAGCTGTAGCTTTGGTATTATCTTCTGTCTTTGGGCAAGTTTCTAAGACTGGGCTTAAAATCGCTCATGTGCAAGCAGCATCCGAATAGGAGACGTGAGGTTCTCGGCCGCTTCTCTGGATCAGAGCAAGTGCAAGAGCATTTGGACCGCAGAGCTCCCAGCGCCTGTTGCACGGAATGAACTTCAACCCAAAGCGAGACGCTGTCCCGTCCGAGGAAGAGGTAATACCCACCACGAGCTCAGCCCAGCCACACCATAACCCCTCTTAACAGATCAAGCTTAAATATGCAGGCCAAGGGAATCGCTCCTACTTAAACTGGGGGATCGCTCTTCAAGTGCCTCCTGAATCTTCATTATATACAACGCCTCGTGACAGCAGCACAAGGTTTAAAGCGATGGCAAAACAATGCAGAATTAAAGCAGGTACTTAATAGCACTTTAAAAAGATGCTGAGGCATGTTTTAGGGTCTGCTCAGCCGCCACAGATAGGCTTAAGGCATCTCATTCCTCCAGTTTATTTACTGGTCTGTAATTATCTGGGGATGCTGGCTGACTCTTTGGTAATTCAACTCGCTAATGAAAGACTTGGAAACCCACGCCTCCCTGGCCCCCAGTCCATCGCTGAAGACACTAGAGAAGGTATTACAAAAAGGAGAAGGAATTATCTGAGAAGCCCTAGGAGAACCGTCAGGCCAGAGAACTTGACAGTTCTCCCCGTGCCCCTGCCCTGGCTTTTCCTCAGGCCCCACCCGACAGCGCAGGAGTGCCGTGGCGAGGGCGAAGGAGCTCACGGGATGCCGGGATAAGGCTCTGCGCGCCCAGTGCACGACACTGAGAGTTACAGAAGCAAAACAAATGGTTTTCCAGCCCCTACCCCAGCCCGGTATAACGTAGGTGCGTCAGGAGCTATCTGTAAATCTTGCATCAAGCAAAACGTTAACTTCTGTCAAAGCTTTCAGAGCACGGTATGTTGCAATTATGTGTAAATGAGTCTAGAAGAACGGTGGTTTTTCTCACGTACCGTATACAAACAGCATGTAATCCGCATGTGATTTCCCCACCGCGTTTGAAGCCTCACAGCGGTATGTACCATTATCTGTTTTGTTTAGGTTACTAATGAGAAGGTTTGAACCAGATACTACAACGTGTTGAGGCATCTCATCATCTACTCTTAACCACCTCATGTCCGTAGGCCTACAGAGGAGGGAGAAAAAGAAACAATCACATTACTATTTTCCTATGGTAAAGATGGCATCTTCAATAGTTCATCCACAGACAGAAAGCCCAAACCAAGAAAAACTGTAAAGAAATAAAACACATACTTTTTTTTTTTTTTTTGCGCTACTCAAGCCCCGATGCTGTTGGGCTTCCTCAACTTAAATCTATTTTAACCCAACAGGAAACTGTATCCAGACCTTAAATTTTCTGAAAACACTAATGCAAGCAGGAAGAAAGGTCATTAGTGGTTAATCATCGGCTTATTCAGTAAACCTGAAATCTTTGAGGCTAGGGACCCAACGTGCATCCACAGGGTACTCTGAGTGCAGATCTGGACAGCATGCGGCAGAACGAGTATGGTTTTGTCAAGTTCGAACCCTTCCACAAAGCTCTGCGATGGACCTATTTACCTCGGCGGGGGCCGTGCCGCTCACCGAGAGCATTTCAGCTGCTGGAAGAGAGGAAC